GCGGAAGAAAATGGATGGATGGATGGATGGACGTCATTAATGACCGTGACATTTGGGCTATTTCAGCAATCATTCAACTACTTTTGGGTTCCATTTAAAATTCAGCAAGCATTAATAGTTCAGCATTTAAAAATATTTCAGCTTGTTTAGCAGCTTTCAGTTAAATTATTTTGCAATAACCATACACGCTGCATTTTTGCAGGAAATGCAGTTTATCTAGTTTAATTACTCACTGCAAAATATTTCACACATGCAAAGCAGAACAGAGGACAAAGAGAGGGAGGAAAATCAGTTTGAAGCGGGTGAGAAAATGGCCATAGATTGTTTTAGGAACACTTAACTGTGAAGCTGTAATTACCAAAAGAGTAGTTTCAGCTGCTCACATAAATTAATGTAATTTTCAATTCATCCATTTTCTTTACTGACTTCTTCCTGGTGCCCATGTCCAACAGTCACTGTGCGTATTGTTTTGGTTTCTTTTGTACACATCAATTCTTTTATTATAAAGATCTGTTACCTTTGAAATAGTTTATTTTGCTGCATTTAATCATGAACACAACATTCAGAACCTTATGGAATAAATGTAGTGATAGTAAAACAATACAAAAAAAAACAAAAATAACACATTATCTTCTGTTTAACACAAATAATATTTTGACATATCTGATTGCCAACTTTTTACACCAGTTTTATTTTCACTTTCATAGTTTTGTCTTAAACTGCTTGTAGTTTTAACTGTCTTGAGTGTTCATAGAAATGGTTTTTTACCAGCTTGTAGCCAAGATTCTGATGTTTCTGTAGATACCACACATGACTATGTTTAACTAAAAGAACTCATAGTAATTAAAGTAGAAAACCAGGATGAATGAACCAGTTGGCGAGCCGCATTTTGGTCACACCCAGCCCGCGGGCCGCCAGTTGAATAGCCCTGCCCTAGAAGTTGTTCAGCTGCAAAAGGTTCAAAAGTTAAGGTTGCATTTAAAGCAACTTCTAATGATTATTGGATATTGCTTCATCCAGGTTCAATGTCCATTGTCACAATGTGCTGTCCTTCAGTTGCAGTTGATAACAGCTCAGTTGCACCACTTTGTACACTCATGAATCTTTCTGCAGAGACACACTCTATTCCTCTCAGTGATGGCAACTATATTCCATTGCTGGGATTGGGAACCTACGGGGATCCTCGAACTGTGAGTAGAAACCAAACTTTTGTTTTTCTGACAAACATGAATACCCCCATTAATTGTGTGAATGTAGGGGCTACTGTGGGGAAAAACGGTGCTGAGATGAAGCTAGTTCTCAGCCCAGCATTCTAAAATAAGACAATTTAATCATAATTATTATTTGTAATGTGCAAGTATTCATGCTATCACCTAAACAAGCATGCACTGTTAAAGAATCTCTAACTGAAACCTGAAACAACAAGCAGGTGAAAGAATTGCATAATTATTACATATTTTTTATTGTTTCATTTCCTAGACACGCAAAGGCACAGCCCTTGAATGTGTCAAGCTGGCCATAGATGTAGGTTACAGGCACTTTGATGGGGCACTGGTGTATTTCAATGAGAGTGAAGTGGGCCAAGCCATTAGAGAGAAGATTGCAGATGGAACTGTAAGAAGAAAGGACATCTTTTACTGCGGGAAGGTAATGCACTCAGATTTGATGTCAGAGGTCTCATTTTATCTTGTGCTTCAGGAGCCTACGCATTGCTCTTACTGATTATTAACTAACTGTGCCAGTATTACTTTAGTCGAGTTAATATTAACCCAGAATTTACTTTCACTGACATCTTACCTCTTATTTTTATCAGCTCTGGAATACATTCCACACACCAGAGTTGGTCAGACCTGCATTGGAAAGGACACTGAAAGCCTTAAAACTTGACTATGTGGATCTGTACATTGTGGAGCTTCCAATGGCCTTCAAGGTGAACATAGACATTTACAACTGGACAAATTGCATTACCTGTAAAAATGCAGAGAGAACGCTAAGTGCTGAATGGCTTCACTGAAATTTGATGAAAAAGCTGAAACTAAGCTGCTAAAACTAAGAAGCAAAACACTAGCTAAAAGCTAAAATAAGCAGAACAATGTCTAAAAGGAGCAAAACGTCAGGTAAATCTAAGAAAAAAAAACTAGCTAAAAGTTGGAAAAATGCTAGCCTGGAAATCAAAAGTGGCAAAATAAAAGTTAAACACCCAAGGAGTTCCCAGGCCATCTGAGAAACATAGTCCCACCAGCGTGCCCTGGGTCTCCTCCCAGTGGGACGTGCCCAGAACACCTCACCAGGGAGGCATTTTAACCAGCTGCCTCAACTGGCTCCTCTCGATGTGGAGGAGCAGCAGCTCTACTCTGAGTCTCTCCCAGATGACTGAGCTTCTCACCCTTTCTCTAAGGGAGAGCCCAGACACCCTGCGGAGGAAACTCATTTGAGGTGCTTGTATCCACAATCTTGTTTTTTCGCTCACTACCCAAAGCTCGTGACCGTAGATGAGGGTAGGAACATAGATTGACCAGTAAATTGAGAGCTTTGCCTTTTGGCTCAGCTCTTGCTTCAACATGACAGATTGGTACAGCGCCCGCATCACTGCAGATGCAACACCAATCCGCCTATCATCCCTCATTTGTAAACAAGATTCTACGATACTTAAACTCCTCCACTTGGGGCAGGACCTCTTCCCCGATACGGAGGAGGCACACTACCCTTTTCCAGCTCAAAACCATGTTCTCGGATTTGGAGTAACTGATCCTAATCCCAGCTGCTTCACACTCTGCTGCGAACCATTCTGGTGAGAGCTGGAGATCTGTCGGGGAGATCCACAGGACTCCCCATGGAAACTAAGGGTAGTGTTGGGGAGTCCCCAATGGACACAGTCGAACGCCTTCTCCAAGTCCATAAAACACATGCACCCTCAAGGACCCTGCTGAGGGTGTAGTCATTCCAGTGTTTCAAGACCATGGCAAAAACCACAATGCTTTTCCTAAATCAGAGATTTGACTATCCGACAGACCCTCCTTTTCAGGACCCCCAAAATAGACCTCATCAGGGAGGCTTAGAAGTGTGATCCCTGTTTTTAGATACGGAGAACATCACCCTGGTCTGCCAATCCAGGGGAACTGCCCCTGATGTCTGATCCCTCACCTAGGACCTTTGCCTTGGGTGACCTTACCAGGGGAATTAAGCTATGACTACATAGCTCATAGGATCATTGGAACACTCAAACCCCTCCACTACAATAAGGTGGCAACCCAGGGAGGGGGAAAACCAAAACTTGAGGCAATAAAAAGCTTTTATTGTTTTAAGGTTCTGCAGATAAAAATAAAAAGACATTATATTTGTGCAAAAAATAATTTAAAAGTGTATCTAAACTGGTTAAAGTCAGTTAGTGGTTTAAGACTAAAAAATAGTCAGGTAAATGTATTTTTTATTTCTTTGTGAACTGAAACTGTTTCTGGATGTGAATATACATTTTTAGTAAAATCTTAAATTTTAACAGGAATTGTAAGCACAACGTTCAGGACAAGAGTTATTCATCATCATGTGTCATTCCAGGAGGAAGAGGATTAATTATCAAGTTTCTTTACAAATTATTAAACTACTTATGTTTTAGCCTGGGAAGGAGTTTTATCCCAAAGACCAGGATGGAAAACACATCTACCATCACACAGACCTCTGTGCAACATGGGAGGTGAGTTAACTTAATGTTAATAATAAATAATGCATCAGTCTTTAGGACACTCAAAGAAGCTTCATGTTATTCATTAACACACACATTCAGACACTGAATGTTACACAAGAAATTGCAAATATATTCTCCTTATGTTGTTTTCATTGTTGTGATTTTTTTTTTAAGTATGTAGAAAGTTGTTACTAGGGATGCACCAATATGAAAATTTCAGCCAATATTGGTATTCAGTATTAATATTGCACTCATCACAATTGTGGTCAAACAGATAACACTTGACCAACCATTTCCCCTCTCAAAACAGTAACACAAACGGCAACAAGGACATCAGTATCAGATGTTAATCGGCCCAGTTTGATTTATCGGACCGATACCGATGTTAATGTCGATATATTGTGCATCCACAGTCATTACCTCCTATTTTATTTTGACTTATTTTCATTCCGGCTTGTTATTGTTAAAAGAAAAAGTTTCCAGGTAAATTGTGCCTTCTGGATTGAGTTAATTTATTTATGGTTGGATGAGAAGTATAAATATATATAATTCTGACACCATACTAGTTTTTACACAATCCATGACAGCTGCACATGACATGTCACACTCCAGCAGGAACAGCAGCTCATGGTCTTAAACTTTCGTTAGAGACTTCATTAAGTTTTTGATTATCTCTGTCAATCAATGAAAGTGTAAATCTTTCTTCTCAACAGGCTTTGGAGGCTTGTAAAGATGCTGGGCTGGTTAAATCTCTGGGGGTTTCAAATTTCAACCGTAGGCAGCTGGAGCTTCTACTGAATAAACCTGGCCTCAAACACAGACCTGTGTCCAATCAGGTGAACCCAAATGTTCTGTTTCCATTGACACCACAGAGCACCATTTGCAGGCATTTATTATTACAGGGAGCACTAATATTGTAGACTAATGAGATAAATTAGATAAGACAAAGATTGGCAAAATGTCCAATCTTTTGTTGTGTTTTTTTTTAGCTTACACATTTTTTTTAACATTGCTATAGGAGCAAAGGAACATTTATCTTGATGCATTTTATTTTCTCTTGCCTCTTAGGTTGAATGCCATCCATATTTCACGCAACCTAAGCTTCTGGAGTACTGTCGTCAGGAGGACATTGTGATTGTTGGTTATTGCCCTCTTGGCTCCTCCAGAGATTCTTCCTGGTGTGTATTTTTCAGCATATGAGCACAAACATTGCTATACATTTTAGTTATCCAGTTAATAATTATAAAGAAGAAAGAAATTCAGATAATGGCCTAATGTGTTTTTAATTTTGCCTGTTTAAGGGTGAATTTGAAGAGTCCTCCTCTGTTGGAGGATGAGCTGCTTGTGTCCATTGGCAAAAAGTACAATAAGAGTAGCGCTCAGGTGGCTCTGCGCTTTAATGTCCAAAGAGGAGTGGTGGTGATTCCAAAGAGCTTCAACCCAGAGAGGATCAAACATAACTTCCAGGTAGTTCATCAAAATACATTTGTGTTCCCACAGCGATGATAAACTTTACTGTCATATTTCATTTTTCCTCTGTTGTTTGGAAAGAAAAGTTTGAATTGTTTTAGGTGGGGTTGTATGTAGTACTTCTGAGCAGTCATGCAGTAGACAGCAATCAGTTCTCTTTTGAGTTCCAATTTTAAGAAATACAACTGGACACCCCCATCACTAAAAAATAATAAATACATTAGTTAATTATATCTTGGAAAGTTGCCTCACTTGAAAAATGGGGAAATCTGCAGTTGCTATTTGTTTTCTCTTTTGTCAGCTTGTATTTCAGTGAGTCAGTCAGTCGTACTTTACAACTTCTGTGGTAAACATGATGTTTGAATCCATAAAACATGAAGTTTTGTATAACTAAGGGTAGTTAGCTTGATCACTGAGAACAACTATTAGCAAATCCTGCTGCTTTTCTTAGTTTCAGCTGGGATGTGATGAATTGAAAGCGGTCATGTTGGGATCTGTGTTTCACTAGCCTGGTTAAAACAAGACCCTGTCCTTCACTTTGCTTCGTACAGAGGGTCTGGACTTGCTGCATACAGAATCGATTTCTTGCAGGAGGCGTGGCCTCTGCTGAAGCATGTGTGTTGTCGCTGTGATGGAGGCTAAGCTAAGAAGCTAACCAGAAATCACGTGTGCTGTAAACAACCCTACTGAGAGGAGAGAAGTACCGAGCTGAACGAGACGACTGTAAATGAGAGCTGCTACTTTGTCAGACACATTTAATTTAATTTGGAAGCCTTATCAACACGGACTGGCTTCATTCTCTTCCTCCACTGTCGTATGCTAAAATAACTAGCAGACACTGCGCAGAAAATCGACATCATTCAAAACTCCTCCTTCTGTTTGCTGATCGGCCCAGGTAAAATAAACTACAAGCAGACACTGTGCAGAAAATTGACGTTCTCTTCTCTGATTGGCCCGGCTAAAAATCTGCCAGTGAAATCCATCTCAATGGGAGAAGTCCCAGACGGAGCAGAGAAGGGAAACTAGAATTGAGCAGAGCTGTGCAGGAAGGCAAGGGCCAGGCCAGTGTTTCACCACTCATCAGTTCTTTTAGTTCTCCACCAGATGGCGTCAGTGAGCATAGATAGCAGGGCTGACTAACACACACCTGCAAATTATACTTATCAGTGGAGCTTAAGAGTAGTCTACTGCCAGTCCTTGATGCCAGAGTGTTAACCTTCAGTGGTAACTTCTTGCCCTGAGCTCCTTGAGAAATTTTGGGTTATTGTTTTTTGATTAGCTCCTGACTCATCTTGTTCTCTACCCCTTGCTTAAAGTTTTCCACCTTCAAGAATCGGGAACCTAGTGATGGGATGATGATACCTCATTGGGTGTATTGACACACTACACAAACTGTGTCGGCTCTGTATTGACACTGTGTTGGTCCTTCAATGGTGACCCCTGCAGTAGTTATTAAATCAGGTGTGCCCAACCAGTCGCCCGCCAGCTGGTTCCCTGTCGCCCGCGAAGCACAACCTTGCTCTAACAGCTGACGAGCCGGGATATTCTCGTAGGAAAACTTAAAAGATCTACTCAAAACTCTGTATTTGAAGAACATTTGAAATGATTGGTATTAATAAAACAATATAAAATCAGTATTTCATGAAAGTAGAACACTGAAAACCAGACTTTAACCTGAAATTTATCTGCGATCAGAACTGAAACTTCCATTATTATTATTATTATTTTACACACTGAGCACTAGTAGTTAGTCTTGACTTCATCAAATGATAATTTTGTCATGAAACATTCTCTGCAAATAACACCTCATGTAGAAACAAATGTGGATATTAGTCTGAAATTTCAATCTGCTTCTATAAGATTCCTGTTTAAAAAATATTGAAAAAGCAGGACTGTAGTAATTTTTTTACATAGCATCAGTGTCTGTAGTGCAGATGGTGAAAGTCTTGTAGGATAGCTTTAGGAAGGAATTGAAGCAACCATACCTACTTAAGGAACATAAAAGAGAAGCTGATGTAAGAAAAGACTATTGAACAATGACATTTCTTGTTTAAATCAAGCTCATTTAAATATTCCCCAGTCCAGCTGCTAATGTTTGCAAAGACTCTCTGAAGTTCAGTACATGTGCACAAGCATTTCAATGACGGGAAGCGATTAGCAAAGCCCGATTTTGCAGGCTTGTGTTTTTACTCATAACATGTTGGAACAGACATGTAGTTGTGCTCCAGCACTGTATATAATCCTCTGATAGAAAAGCGGCACAAGTGTGAACAATTACATTAAAATCTGAACTTGAACTGTATAACTTCTGAGGTTTGAGTTGTTCTATATCATATAAATTCACTCAGATTGGTTTTGCATAGCCTTTAGCTTGAATCTTCCTTCAGAGCGTGTCTGTCATTTTTCAAAATGATTTCACTCTAACTGATGTCTGTGAGGTTTCAGGCAGAGATCGACCCAGGGCACAGAGTGTAAAAAAAGGCTTTATTTAACCTAAAGAGTCTGACAAGGCAGCTCAAAAATACTCACAAAAATAACCTTCTTTGGAGAACAAGAACACAAGGAGAAGCAGAGACACCACACTGGCTGAAGTGAACAGCACTGATCCCTGTCAGTTCATTAACTGATAGGGAAGTGAAGACGAGACACAGAATATAAAGGTGAGCAACTGAGGGACTGTTTGGAAACACCTGAGGAGGAAACATGATCAGGTGTGCCTGGGAGGAAAAACACAGGGAATAACAGAAACACTAGAAAAACCAAGGGAAAAATAAACACAGACCATGACACTGTCTTCTATAGGTAAGACACTGACTACTCAGAAGTACTTAATATAACCCCTCTTCAAAGAAATCTGAACTTGCTTCATAATGTCAACAATTTCAGTTCCAATGCATCTTACTCTTTGACAGATATTTGATTTTTCACTCACGGAGGATGAAATGAAAGCCATTGAAGGACTGAATAAAAATATTCGCTTTGTGGAGCTGCTGATGTATGTATACCTTTGAGACAAGTTTCTGTGTCAGTTTTATTGTGCAATGGGGAAAATAAAATTAATGACTAAAAAGAGACCATCATTCTCTGAAACAACTTTTTTTATTTTCACACAGGTGGAGCGATCATCCAGAATACCCCTTTAATGAAGAATACTAAGCTTCTCAGGGGGTTATAACATGAACCATTTTTAAGTTTAAATAAATAAATATAAACCAAAATCCTGTGTTTTGTTTGTATCAAACTTATTGATTTAGATCAGTTATATTTTGGTGAATAGTCACCATGAACACTAGAGGTCTCTCTCTCTCTCTCTCTCTCTCTCTCTCTCTCTCTCTCTCTCTCTCTCTCTCTCTCTCT